GCTGCGAGTGCAGTGCTCAGGAGCGTTCGGTCTTGTGCCACCGCAAGAAGCTGATGTCCGTTCCAGAGGGAATCCCATCGGAAACACGACTCTTGGATCTCAGCAAGAATCGAATCAAAACCATCAACCCAGATGAGTTCTCCGCCTTCCCGCAGCTGGAAGAGCTGGAGCTCAGTGAAAACACCATCTCGACCATTGAGCCAGGGGCCTTTAACAACCTCTTTGGCCTGCAGACTCTGGGACTGCGCAGCAACAAGCTGAAGCTCATCCAGCTGGGAGTGTTCACGGGCCTTAGTAACCTAACAAAGCTGGACATCAGTGAAAATAAAATCGTAATTCTGCTGGACTACATGTTCCAGGACCTCTACAACTTGCACTCTCTGGAGGTTGGGGATAATGACCTTGTCTTCATATCCCACAGGGCGTTTCACGGCCTCAGCAGCCTGGAGCAGCTCACGCTCGAAAAGTGCAACCTGACCTCTGTCCCGACAGAGGCCTTCACGCACCTGCACAGCTTGGTCACGCTGCGTTTGCGAAACCTCAACATCAACAGCATCAGAGACTACAGCTTCAAGCGGCTCTACCGTCTCAAAGTGCTGGAGATTGCCAACTGGCCCTACCTGGATACCATGACCACCAACTGCTTGTACGGATTGAATCTTACCTCCCTAACGATCACTAACGTAAACCTGACATCAATTCCGTATTTGGCCTTGCGGCACCTGGTTTATCTTCGTTTCCTTAACATGTCCTACAATCCCATCCAGATGATCGAAGGCAACCGGCTCCATGACCTGCTCAGACTGCAAGAGTTCCACCTGGTGGGCGGTCGACTGACGATGATTGAACCCTATTCCTTTAGAGGACTGAACTACCTGAAAGTCCTCAATGTGTCCAGCAACTCCCTTACCACCCTGGAGGAGTCTGTGTTCCATTCGGTGGGGAACCTGGAGACCCTCGCGTTGTACGACAACCCACTGGCTTGTGACTGCCGACTGCTTTGGGTTTTCCGACGCCGCTGGAGGCTCAACTTCAACCGCCAGCAGCCGACTTGCTCCTCACCCGAGTTCGTTCAGGGAAAAGAGTTCAAGGACTTCCCTGATGTGCTGCAGCCCAATTACTTCACGTGTCGTAAGTCTAGGATCCGAGACCGGAAACCACAGCAGAAGTTCCTTGATGAAGGCACCACCGTCCACTTTGTCTGCCAAGCAGATGGAGACCCGACACCTGTCATCATGTGGCTTTCTCCACAAAAACAGTTTATCACCACGAAAACAATAGGACGGCTCACTGTTTTCCCGGATGGCACCTTGGAGGTGCGCTACGCTCAGATTCAGGACAATGGGACGTATGTGTGCATTGCTAGCAATGCAGGTGGAAACGACACCGCTTTGGCCCACCTACATGTCCACAGTTACTCGCCAGACTGGCCTAACCAACCCAACAAAACCTTGGCGTTTATCTCCAACCAACCCAACGACAACGGAGCCAATGGAACAAGAACAACAGTCCCGTTCCCTTTTGATATAAAGACGCTAATCATCGCCACCACCATGGGCTTCATCTCCTTTTTGGGTGTGGTTCTGTTCTGCCTTGTTCTGCTCTTTCTTTGGAGCAGAGGCAAAGGCAACAGTAAACACAACATTGAGATAGAGTACGTCCCGCGCAAATCGGACGCTGGGGCGAGCAGCAGCGGCAACGATGCCCCTCGGAAATTTAACATGAAAATGATATAATCCAGCCAGGGAGCTCAAAAGACCCTTTCAAAAACAGACTCAGAGACAAAAACAAGAGATTCCCTGCCTGTACAACCTCTGGCTCTGACGAGCTCCCCATAGAGGAGGGGTGTTTTTCCCCCTTTCTAAAGTTGGATGTGCGGCACAGGGGTCGGTGCTTTTTTTCAATATTGAACATGAGAGGGGGAAAATGTCCTCATGCGCACTCCTCTGTGATGGCCGCTTAAACTCAGCTTACGGGGACCGATATCTTTGAGAGAGGATTTTGTTTTAAAACACTTCAGTTCCTGTGGATTTTTATGGGCAAAAAACATGGAAAAAAATGAAAAACTGAACCTCCAAAATGTTTTGTGTCGACCTCCAGAATGCAAAGGCAGAGCATCCTTCTCCCTGCTGTCCTGCTGCCCACATCCATTTTGTTAGTTTGTTTGTTTAACCCATTCTTTTCTTGTTTTCTTCTTAAATGAATAGTTTTATGACAGAATAACAGTAGATAAATCAGGGGTGAAAAGCACATTTAACAAACCTAACAGCTGAATTTGCCCAAATTCATCTTCTACATTGCAACAGAATGTGGAATATAATAGATTGCATTTCCATTCCTGCCATAGAGAAATATGTGTATAGCGCAACTTTCACTGCACATTTCTTTCTTTGTATCTGTACTCTGCTGTTTGGTTCTCGTTTTGCTTTCGGATCCGTATTTTAATGCATTTGTTGGATAAGCCTAGGGAATTTTATGACTCGAGCGTCTGGATAAACAAGTACAGGTTGTTTAATGTTGGATTAATGGCTAGGCAAATGAAAGCAGCAGTAATTATGTAACTTTTGTTGTGTGTTTTACTTTATTTTGATCGCTATAGCCTGCAGTGAGCATTTCTGTAGTGCCTGGTCAGGTTTAAACCCATTTAATGGCACTGCAGGATCACATTTTTATATAACAAGCCCATTCCAAGTTTTATTCGCCTGAGACGCTACACCAAGAATGTACAGCTCTATCTCAGAGTGTGTATGTGCGAAAGCGAGCGAGTTCCTAACAGAATCAATCATTTCATCAAAAGGTGAGAGTGTTAATATGCTCGACAGCACTCGATCACCTTCACCTGCTGCCGTCACTGGGTCTCACACCTGTCTCATGCTCTCAGATCTGTCTCATGGGTCTTACACCTGTCTTACGGTCTCGTGCCTGTCAAATGGACTTAGTCTTTGACCTGTCTTATGGTCTCAAATCAATTTTTCTTTACATTATAAGAAGCGTTGGTACCCAAAGAAACTGTTTTAAAGTTACCCAGTACATCTAAGGACTAAAACGGTGCTGGTTTGTTACAATGACAGATATCTAGATGCAAGAGGGGAATTCACTAAGAATGAGCACTCCTGGATAATGTTGTTTCGCATCTGTTTCCACAGGCGGTAAAAGCACAACGTTAGACACTGTTTGTGAATAAAGAAGTGGGAGTAAATTGAAAGTAGGCATGTTTATGCCGAAAAGAGAGCACAGTTGCACAGTGCTAGATAGAGACCGGTTAAAATTGACTGGTTAGTGAGTATGAAGCAGTTTTTTGTGCTGAAATGCAACAGTTGAATGAATTCGCTCCACAGTCCAGCTATGTTTTAAGTGTCCGTTTAATCTGGACAAAGCAGGGCAGGTGATTTCCGTGGAAGAACAATGAGCTGTGTTTATGCACAGGATTTTGCTCGGGTGTAGATGGGTTTCGCCTCGCTAAGTGGTTTGTGCAGCTGACTGAGGCTGCAGATGGAGAAGCTGCACAAATGGTTTAACCCTTACTGATCCACTTTAGAGTTAATCTGCCACATGCACACACACACATGCACACCTGAATCTTTCTCTGATCCTCTGCCTCTGTGGTCTACCTGCTGTTCTCATCCTATTACGTCGAATAAATCTTTATATGACCTCTGCCCTCTCTGACATTCAGCCCAGGATGATAATGTGCATTAATGTGGTCTATTATATTCTTTTATACTAAAGAAAAAACGAAACCTAAAAAGGTGAAAAAATCTAGTATGAAAAATGTTTCAGTTGTTCTGTGCAATAAAGGTAATATGCATTTTGTTTTCTTTTTTTAATTAACACAATTTTATTGATGTTGAATTGTTGAAAATATGGTATGTTGTATTAAACAGTCTATGGAGATTTTTTTTTACCAAAAATGTGCCTTGTTTATTTTGCTCTGCAGGCGAATCTTTGGCGGTTGCGCAGTTAATGTGAAATAATATTAACCAGCAGGTAAGAAAACAGTGTCATTTTATCATAATGGGTTTCTTGTGTCCCTGTCAGGGTCATTATGATAATGCAAGACCTTCTGAAAGTTGTACAGTTATATGTAAGAGCTGAGCAAGAACAAATAAGAATTTATTTTTATTTTCACTGAATAAAAGGGTTCACACATGCAGTGACTTGCAGCAACAAAATGCCTGGAAGTCATTGGGTGCTTCTTGTAAAAATAGAAAATCTTATTTTTATCGCAAATGCATCGATCAGATTTTCACTATGACCAGTTGTGAAGCTCCCATTAACACTCATCCAGTGCCTATTAGCAACCAACAGTACAGCAACCTCATGACCACCGGCGATAAAATTACTGTATGAACGGGGATTGAGGATGAGGAGATCTGTGAAAAATGAGGAGATTTATTATTATTAGAGGCTTGATGTAGAAACGAGCTTAATACTCTTGCTGGTTTTAACAGTGGTCATTGTCTGATCCTAACTGGTTTAGGTTGATCATCTCAAGGAAGGACAAGGAGTTGGTAAGATGACTGGATGCCTGCAGGCAGGGCCGTTTCTAGCCAATTTGACGCCCTAGGCGAAATCCCTATTGCC